CGCGCGGGGGGCCGGGGCCCGCGGCCCCTGCACTGCTGACTGCCTGCGCGGACTGCTGCGGCCGCGGCCCTGCTGCTGCCCCGTGGGTGCGGCTGGGTGTGTGCCCAACCGCTCGGACGCCTGTGCTGGCCAGGGGCCCCCGAGTGTCCTTCTTCTGACAGGGCGGGACTTCGAAGTGTGGATGCTGGAGACCAGGTTGAAGGGCAAGGTTATTTGTACGCATATGATAGGAGTGCTGGTGCTCCCTGTCATCCCAGCACTCTGGGAGGCTGAGGCAGGACGATTGCAAGTTTGAGCACAACCTGGGCAACTTGGTGGCCTAGCGAGATCTTCTCTTGAAAATGAATGTTAGGTCTAGGTTTGTAGCTCACCGTGAAGATCCTGGGTTCAGTCCCACTGCGGCAGGGAGCGAGGGTATGATCAGGACTCTTCTCAGCGGTAGAGCCGCGCAGGGCGGGAGGCTTCTCTGGAAGCACTGGCGTTTCCGACAGGTGTGGCTGGTTTCTGCGGGTGACCTGGGTGCAGCTGTCTTGGGGACAGTGCCAGCCCCTCCTGCACCACCCGCAGAGTCCGTCCCTGGGGAGCCTTGCGGCCTTCCACGCGCTTGTCCTTGCCCTTCCAGCTAACTTTATCAAGAGTGCAGAGCCAGAGCAGGGACCTCGGCTCGGAAGCCACAGGACCGTGGCCTGCTCGGCACATCTGCCCCGCGCGGGTCTCCCGAGGCCCTGGCCCCAAGGTACCACTGAGGCTCAGCTGCCTCTCTCCTTGCATGTGGGGACACAGCTGCCCCAACTCCCCGTGGTGACAGGGCCGGGAGGCCGCACGAGTGACCCTGGGGGGAGGGCCTGTGGCTTGTGGCTGCCCCCAGCCTCAGAGGCTGTCACCCTGTCGCCACCCAGAAGCACCTGCAGGAGCGCACAGCGTTGAAGCCAGCGATTTCTGTTTGGAAATAGGGTCGTCTCCTGCCGCTGACCCCCATCAAACCCCATCATGCCCACAGCCCTGTGCCCCCGCGTGCTGGCCCCCCAGGAGAGCGAGGAGCCCCGGAAGATGAGGAGCCCCCCTGGAGAGAAGGCCGGCCTGCCGGGAGAGCCCCCCAGCCCCGAGTCCTCGCGCCGCCTGTTCCGCCGCTTCCGCTACCAGGAGGCGGCCGGGCCCCGAGAAGCGCTGCGCCGGCTGTGGGACCTGTGCCGCGGGTGGCTGCGGCTGGAGCGCCATACCAAGGAGCAGATCCTGGAGCTGCTGGTGCTGGAGCAGTTCCTGGCCATCCTGCCGCGCGAGGTGCAGGCCTGGGTGCGCGCCCAGGAGCCCGAGAGTGGCGAGCAGGCTGTGGCCGCCGTCGAGGCGCTGGAGCGGGAGCCTGGGAGGCCGTGGCAGTGGGTGAGAGGGGCACAGAGGGAGCTGGGAGGGACCGCTGAGCGCCTCCATCCGTGGTCCCCTGAGGGCTGAGATGTGACTGAGTCCCCTCACTTTGGTTATGCCTGGCCTGGAGCTTGGTTCCTTAGCACAGCAGCTTCCACTCCCTGAAGGCTGTGATTTCCCTGCGATGCGTGGTCCTTCGGGTAGCCCTGTCCAAAGTCCAGAGGAGCCTGGGTGGTCAAGGGCCTGGCCCTGCCTGGGGTCCCTCCTGTAGCCTGAGCCACTCTCTCCGCGGGGATTGCAGCGCAAGCACTGTGAGGACCCCGTGGTGATTGATGACGGGGAAGGCCCTCCTGACCTGGGCCAGGAGCAGGACCGCCTGCCCGCGGATGTCCTCAGCGACCCTGCGAAGAGCCAGGACGCCCAGCCTGTGGCCCTGGCCCCCGGCCTGGGCCTCCTCAGCCGATCTCCCAGCCAGCTCTGCGAGGGCCCAGGTATTTCGTGGGCCCAGGGGCAGTGGGAGGGGGACACGGCCTGCAGGCTGAGTGGGTCTGATCTGCTGAGGGCTGCATTAGCATTTCCTTCTGTCCCTGAGCTGCTAGGTTATTACCTGGCTCTCGCCTCTCTGTGCTCTCCCCCCAGGTCCTCCAGAGGGGGTTGGGGCGCAAGTGTGTCTCCTTCCTCTGGTCGTTTGCGGTGTTGGCCAGGGTCTGGGTCTGTGCTAAGCCTGAGCAGCCCCTGCTCCCCATCCTCAAATCCATCAGTGCTTTGGAGGCATAGTGAGGCCCGGGCCAGGAGGACCCAGATGTGGTTTGAACATCTGCACAAAGCACACCCGGCCACTGGCTTCATCACCAGATAAACCTGACCTTGAGTTTGGTGGGGATGACGCAGGCCTAGACTCCCTAAACCAGCTTGGCCTGGTGGCTCAGGCCTGAAATCCCAGCTACCTGGGAGACTAAGGCAGGAGGATCACAAGTTTGGGCCCATAGCGGCCAGTTTACTGAGACCTGGCTCAGTAAATGAGCTCTCAGCGCAGGTGTCTTCGTGCATAACGGAGACAGTAACCTCCCTTTTGGGATCTTTTGAGAACTTGCAAAATGTTGAGCAGAGGCCTGAGCTGCCTGTTGAGTTGTGTGCCTACTGCCTCCCTCGGTGTCCAGGGCGTTGGATCACCCAGGGCACTCAGACGTGGCAGGGGCAGAATGTTTGCGTGTAAGGTACAAGCGTCCTCCCCGCTGTGATTCAGCTCAGGTTACTTGTGCTGCCTGCTGCAGCGCAGCTGGAGGCTGTGGGAGGGGGCAGCAAGGTGTTGGGGGGCAGGGACAGAAGCCTGTGCCAGCTGAGTGCAAGTGTGGCTCCCTTGTGGCTGTGGTGGTGGTGGTTATATGCCCCACCCGACTCCCCTGCGGCCGCGGGTGGGATCGATTCCTGGTCCAGGGACTGTGGCCTCCACACTGCAGGACACCCGGGCTGTGGGTCCCTCTCAACGGCCTCTCCACGGCCTCTCCACACTGCCCTGCCTTAGTAGAGAAGGAGCCTCCGAGAAGCCAGGCCGCCCCTGGTGGTCTAGCATAGCGTGGAACAAGCTCAGCGGCCAGGAAAGCCCGCCAGGTTTCCCTGTGTGCCAAACGATACCAGCTTCTCACCATCAAGTGCCTGCATTGCCTCCTGGGTAAAGTCAGGGCGGTGTTCACCCCCAGGGTTACAGACCAGGGACAGACTGAAGTGAATTCGTTCTCCAAGTTACAGAGGCTGAAGGCTCATGCAGCAAGGTCAGCCAGCCTGGCTACTTCCTTTTTTTAATTTTAGTTTTATGTATTTTGTGGTACTGGGGATGGAACCCAGGGCCTTCTCGCTGAGATACACCTCCAGTGGAGATAGTAGCTACCCTTTTGGGGCCCTTTATTTCGTTTTGAGTAGTGTGTTACGTAGCTGCCCAGTGCTGGGGGCGCCACCTGGTCTGCCTTGGCCTTTGCTGTCCTCGCATGCTCGTCCAGCTCTGTGTCTGGATCCAGGGCAAGCTGCTGCATGAGACCACGTAAGGACCACAGATGGGAAGACCTCCAGGGGCAGTGCCACTCCCCCACCCCCCACCCCCGCTCCTCCTGGGCTTGGGACCTGGACGTACGGATCTGAGTCAACAGCCACAGGCGGAAGGGAGTAGACCGTGCGGTGGGGCTGGGTTCAACAGGAAGTGGGTGCTGGGGAGAGGCCTGCAGGGACCCCAGGGGCTTGAGTCAGCGTCCAGCTTGTGTGAGCAGGGAGTGCCCACGCATGGGTGATGGTGGCTTGCCGTGGGACCACCTGCCTGCCGGAGCTCCTGACCCTAAAGATCACCCTGCAGCTGTACCGTAACACTCAGCGCCCTGGGCCGGGCTGGGGTGGGGGGGACCGGGTTCTGCCGGGTGGGGTGAGTGCCCGGGCGCTGTGAGGAGCACAGGGCCAGAGGGAGTGTGTGTGCCAGGCACGTCCAGCCTGACGGCGGGAGTGGTGGCCGCTGTGTGAGGAGCTGACCTTGGTCACCTGGGCGCACCCTGTGCTGCTGGGCACTATATGCCTGTGTGTGTGAGGTTTGAAATTCTCAGTTTCAGGGTGCTGAGGATCGAACTCGGGGCCATACTGTGCTAGCTGGGCGGGTGCCCTGCCGTCGAGCTCCCAGCCCCTGATCTCATTTCCTAGTTGGCGTGGTGAAAGTGCGTGTGCTTCAGGTGCACAGTGTCGTTTGATACTTTGGCAAATAATGAAATGCATCTAATTAAGACGCATTCATTCACGCACTTACTCTTTCTGTAGCAAAATCACACTCTGCGCTCAGCACTTGCCAGTGTGTAGCGTGCTGTCAGTCTCAGTCACACACCACACAGAGCTCTGAGCCATTCCTCCTGTCTGACCAGAGCCGTCCCCTCCTTGGACTGCAGCATCCATCTCCCCCTCTTTTGGTCCTCAGTGGACTCTAGATCCCAGTGGGGAGCAAGGTCCCGAAGGGTTTATCTCTCAGTGCGTTCACACGGTATCCTCCCAAATAACTGGACGCCCCTTGTTGCAGGCTGAGTAGAGTTTCACCCTGCTTACCTACCACATTCTCATTGGTCCGGGGTTGGCTGCTGGGAACAGTGCTGTAGTCCGTGTGAATGTGGCTCTCTGTCATGAGTGTCTGAGACTGAGAGGCTCTGCCAGCCCTCACTGTCACACGCTGAGGAACCTCCACGCTGTGTTCCTAACGTGGGGAGCAGCGTCTGTCCAGCAGGCGGTGCACAGCGCCCCTTCCATCCTCACCCACAGTTTATATGTGAAAGTAAGCCTGCGTGACAGCAGCCCCACAGCGACTCCCACTGCCAGCAGCCTCGTGCTTTCCTCTTCTGTTTTCTTGCTTACTCTGCTTGTTTTTTGTTCTTTGAGATAGAGTATCACTATGTAGTCCAGGTTGGCCTTGAACTCACAGTGATCTTCTGCCTCAGCCTCCAGCATTCGGGGATCACAGGTGTGTGTCACCATGCCTGGCTTATCGGCAGGGGTCTGACTGTCACACGGGCTGCACTCAAAGCCCTGAGCTGAGGAGCTCACCCCCCTCCACTATGGACTGTGAACCGTCCCGTGTGTGTGTGTGTGTGTGTGTGTGTGTGTGCGCGTGCGTGCGCACACATGTGCGTGCGCACGCGCAGGTCCGGGGCTGCCTCTGCTCTGGTCGTGGTGCTCTGCCAAGGACCGCTGGCCAGAGACTCAAGATGCCGCTGGCCAGTGTGAACCTGAGACCCGCGTGTCTCTCTTGCAGCGCCACAGGACGCCTGCCTTCTGCAGGAGGACGGTGCAGGGGACACACAGCAGGTGGCTGCCTTCCCACTGCCTGCGGTGAGTGTCGCATGGGGTAGCGAACCCTCGGCACCCTCAGTGAGAGCGGGGCGCGCCGTGGCTACCTGGTTTCACAGATGGGTGTCATTAGTGTGGTAACAGCATAGCTGACCGCCTCAGAAGGGTGTGGTGGTCCCAGACTCCCTGTGTGTGACCTGTGTGGGCCCAGGGGCCCGTGCACCACACTGTGTGGCCCATTGGCCGCTGCCCCGTCCGGACGCCCAAGCTCCCACAGGCAAGGTGACACTCGGTTGTCGCAGGCTCACCGCTGCCCTGCAGGAGGGGACCTGGCCTGGGCCCTGGCTCCCAGCTAGCAGGCAACGGTATAGGGAGCACGGTGCCGCTCCTTCTCTCCCCCTGCCACACGAGGTGCACCAGGACAGTTTGGGACTTGGGGACTCTCAGAGATTGAGCTTTTGCATAATGAGATTCCCCCCGAGAAGTCCATCTAGCACTCGCACACCTCAGGTACTGAGCACACTTGAAGTTAAACCTTTTTATTCTTAGATAACTGTAGATAAACATGCAGTTGTAAGAAATAATGCAGATATTCCTTGAATTTTTTTTTACTCAGTAGTAGGATATGTGAAAAAAATGTGTGGTTAAAAAAATCAGTCTTGTGCTGGCATGGTAGTGCCCATCTGTAATTTCAGCAGTCTGAGAGGCTGAGGCAGGAGGATCACAATTTGGAGCCCAGCCCAGGCAATTTAGTGACTTAGTGAGATCCTGTTTACATTCTTTTTTAAAGGCTGGGAATGTAGCCGGTGCCAAAAAAGAAAAGAAAGGAAATTAAGCAGAGCAATTCCGACCACTTATTGTTCTTCAAAATTACTTTAGCTTGCTGCTTTGTTTATTTACTTGCTCATTTTGGTGGTGCTGGGAGTCAGACCTGGGCCTTGCTTCTGCTGGGACAGTAGCTCTCTGCCACCGGGCTACAGCCCCAGCCTTATTTTTAATTTTGATGTCAACATACTTGTTTGTAATACATGGAAGTACAATTGGGTTTTTGGTTGGTTGGTTGGTTTTTTGGGACAGCCTCGCTTGTACTTCAAACTGGCCTTGACCTCACTGTGGAGCCCAGGCTGGCCTCAAACTCGAGGTGGTCCTCTTGCCTCAGCCTCCCAAGTGCTGGGATTACAGGTGTGTGCCCCCATGCCTGGCTGGTTTTTGTTTGTACTGTTTTCTTTCTGAATTCACTTGTAAGTTCCAAGGGGATTTAAAAAAAAAAAAACAGGGTCTTCTGTGTTTTTCTGTCTAGCTTTGTTTTTGGATGCAAAACCCAGAGACAGGATGTCCTCTCTGAATGACAGGGCTTTTGTTTCCCACGGTGTGTCTTCCTTCTCTTTTGTCTCATTTTGGCAAGATGTGCGCGCCCCCCCGCATAACAGTGTGACAGTGGGCTTGAACTCAGGACCTCACACTCGCCAGGTACGCCCTGTGCCTCTGAGCTGTACCCCCGGCCGTAGCAGTGGGGATCTTTGCCTTACCCCTCGTGTTTGGGGAAGGCATTCAAGTTTCGCTACTGTGTGTGTTTTCTCAGTTCCCTTCATTGGGTTGGAGAGGGCCCACATTCCTGTTTCTGAGAGTTCTCACTGCATGAGTGCGGAGTTTTCTGAGAGACTTTCTGCGGCCGCTGATAAGTGTTGTGAGTCTTCTTCGGCCTCCTGCGTTCAATGTGATTGGAGCTAGAATCGCACAGCCCACATCCTTTCGGCGTGAAACCCTGCTTAGGTGTTGCTGGATTCTGTTTGCTGTTATTTGGTTAAGGGTTTTGTGTCTGTACTCACAGGTTACTGTGCTATGGTTTTCTCATCTCTAATGTCTCTGGGTTTGAGCGTTGGAAACACTGGCTTCATAAAGGCAGGCGGGAGGCTCCTCTGCTCTCACTTGCTCAAAGAGGCTGCGCTCAGCCGGGGAAGTGGCGGTGTTTTCACGGTGTATTGAGTCCTTCAATGGTTCTGAAGTTAACGTGCTATTTCCTGGTGGGTGGGTTTCACAAAGAGTCGACTCATTTTCCGTCAGCTGTTAAACGTGTGTGTGTAGTTATTTGTAGTGATGTTTTATGATCCCTTTTGTACCTACGGTGTCTATTGGATTACCTTCTGATTTATTCCCAATGTTGGAAATTTGTGCTTTCTCGCTTCTATTTTGTCAGTGTTGCTACAGGTTATTTTTTTGTCCCAGTTTCACTGATTCCTACTCTTTCTCTGTTGTCTTCATTGTGCATGCTTTGGGTTTTCTTTTGTAGGCTCTTGAGTTGGGAGTGTAGGGCTGTAGATTTACCTCTCAGGACTGCTTTAACTATGTGTTTTTATTTTCATTCATTTTGTGTGTTTTACTTTCTCATACGTCTTCCTCTTTGGTTGAAGGGTGACATAGGACCGTGTTGCTGGATTTCCAAGGAAGTGGTGACTTCCCATTACCTTTCTTTTTCCCGTTAGCATTGGTGCATTGTTTGAGTCCGTGGTGAACAGAACATGTACTTCATGTGGTTTCAGCTCTTTTACGGCTGGTAAGGGCTGTGCCTCTTCCGCTGGGTGGTCCTGAGCCGCCAGGGCTGTGTGTCCTGTCAGGTGTCCGAGAGGGGTTCAGGCTCTGAGCGCTGCGGAGCACTGCCGCAGCCGTCTGCTCGTGGTGTCGTGGAGTTCCCGTCCCAGGTGGCTTTATGCCCACTTGCTGCCTCTCCGGTTTTGAGAGGGTGGAATCCCTGGGTTTCGGACTTGTGTGCCTGCTTCTTTTCAGTCTTACCATTTTTTGCCACACATGCTTCACAGCTCCCACTGGGTGCAGACACATTGGGTGCCGTGCTGTCTTGGACACACCCTTCCTGATGAGGACAGCCCCTGTCTCTGGTGTTAACGTAGCTTCTTTTAAGGATTACATACACTCACACGTTCACACACATGGATTTCACAGTATAGTCAACCTACTGCATGGTGGTATTTGAAGTGAGGCTCTTTTTTAATTAATTAAGTTTATTGGTAACTTAGGTTACATAGCGATCATACTCATCACAGGAAATCTGTACTTGTACATAACGTGTCTTGTCTTTTCCCCGCTCCACTCCCCTCCCCCAACCCCCTTTCCTCTCTTTATTTACAAAAGCTGTGCTTCCATTTTTTCCTTCTTTTCTCACTCTTTTTCTTTTCCCTTCCTTCCTTTACCCCTTACCCCTCCCAAGTTCCCTTCCCTTTTTTTATTTTGTCTTTTTGAGACAGGCTGTCACTATGCAGTTCAGGCTGGCCTCGAACTCAGTGATCCTCCTGCTTCAGCCTCCTGAGTGCTGTGATTACAGGCTAGCACCTCCATGCCTGGCCCCAGTTACCCTTCCCATTTGAACATTTTCTTCCTATTTCACAAACTCTATTACACATTTTGGTCCTTATTTACACCTTTGGTTTCTCATACCAGAGAAGCAATGTGGTATTTACACATGTGTGTTTGATTTATTGAAGTGAGGTTCTTTTTGAACACATGCTTTTGGGGGTTGTTTGGTTTGCTTTGTTTTCCATGCTGGGCATTGAGCCCAGGAAAAGTACTCTCCCAGGTTATTTTTTTTTTTTAAATCTTGACACAGGGTCTCACCGAGTTGCCAGGCTGGCCTCAAACTTGTGACCCTCCTGCCTCAGCCTCCTGAGCAGCTGGAGTTAGTCTGATCTTGCCGTGGCTCCCCGCCATTCTCTCAGTTCTCTCTGCTGGAGACAGATGGACTTGCTTCTCCTCGTCTACTTTCCCCTTCCTTCCTGAAGGACAGTTCCAGCAGACACAGGGTTCTAGCTACAGTTCTCTGCAGTTGCCAAACGCTCTTGTACCATTGATTTTCTCTTTTCTTTCTTTCTTTTTACTTTTTGTTTGTTTGTTTGGTTGGTTGGTTTTTTGAGACAGGGTCTCGCTATGTAGTTCAGGCCGGCCTTGAACTCACTATGGAGCCCAGGCTGGCCTCAGACTTCGCTGCGATCATCCTGCCTCCGCCTCTCCAGGGCTGGGATGACAGGCGTGCGGCGCCTCGCTGGGCTCTTGTGCCGTTTCTGTCTGGCCTGGGACGCTTGGCAGAGCCCTGCTGTCCTTTCACTTTGTCCTCCTTCGGGAAGGTGTCATTTTCCTACTAGCCTCCCAAGCTACTTTGCATCGCCTGTAGCCTTCAGGCGGTGAGTCCGCTGGGTTCCGCTGCGAAGTCCAGATTAGCCTGTTAGGGGGCGGCTGGCTTCAGGAAACTAGGCTTACGGCTCAAACGAGGAGTCTTAGGTCTGTTGGGCGGTTTGGCGGGAGCGAGGCTGTCTGGGTTCCCGGGTCTGTGCCCTGGGCGCCGGCGGGAGGAGTCCGCGTGACTCCCACACCCTCCGCCTGGCCGCCCTCGCGCCTCCTGGACGCGCGCCCGACGCGGCGCCCGCTGCGCTTCCCGCGTCCCTCGGCGTCCGCCCCGACTCGTGGTGCGGGGCCCTTTGCAGCTCAGCAGCCCCTGCGTGGTGTCTGAACCTGGGTCCGCCGCCTTGGGGCGCCTTTCTCCTGTGGCCGCGGGGACCAGGCAGCCCTGGGCTGTGGTGCTGAGCTCCGCGCTCGTGGGGACCCGCGTCCGGGGCGGCGGGGCGGGGTGGGTGCTGTGGGCGGGAGCCGCTGCCGGGGACGCAGAGGCCGCCGGCCCGAGCGCGAGCCCCGGTCCTGTGCTTGCAGACCCGTGCGTCCCCGTTTAAGGACATGATCTTGTGCTTCTCTGAAGAGGACTGGTCCCTCCTCGACCCCGCGCAGACCGGCTTCTACGGGGAGTTCATCATCGGCGAGGACTGCGGGGTCTCCGTGCCCCCGGGTGAGGCCCCGCGCGGGG